GAAAGAGTTCTTTTTTTTCTTCCAAACCTGATTTTGCCAGAGAAGAAAATATAGGACTGAACTGTAATATTGGAACTGTGTTGTTCTGAGGTAATAATGATGTTGTATATTTGCTTATGGCAATTTGGCAACCTCTTCAGATTTCTCTTTGAGAAATGTCTTCTGTTCCTGTGTAGTAAGTACTTGAGAAGAAATAACTCACGTATTTTACTGTCAATTCTTCTTCTATGGGATTTGAGCCAAACCATGCTTGAAAAATACTGTACACCACAAGAATTCATTCATAGTCATGAATCCTCTTTTTTTTTTTCTGCAATGTGCATAAAAGTGGGTTTTGTCTTTCCTTTTGAGCAAGTCACAGACTACGTTCTAGCCTTTTTTACACTCTATAGGCTATTCCTTTGAAACCGATGCAGGCAACCTATGTTCCAGTTCTATGCATTCACTCCCATACTCCTCAGTATCTACAAAAGTCTGTCTTGTTCACTTGTGTACACCTTCACAGGTAGTTTGTTGTTTTTTTTTTAAGACAGTTTTAATAAAAAACACATACAACATCAGGTTAAGTAGCTTTAAGGGATAGATTATGGTGACAAGCCAGGAAAATTAGAATTAAGATAAAAGGTTTTCCTTCTGTTCTTACTGGAATGGGGAAATGAAGCTTTCCAACTTAATCTCCAGGCAACTTATCTTCCCTACTGCCACTGTCACTTATTACACAGAGAGAAGCTCCTGTTCCCTTTTGAACAACAGAATAATTGCAGGAGAAACCAAGCAAGGCTCAAGCTAGCTGAATCCAGTCAGCGAGTGCAGAAGGAGGCAACAACAAAAAACATTTTGGGAAAGGGAAGGGAAAGTAAATACATTTGTATTTACTATTAGGAAATATTGAAAACACTCTTTTGTATTGTACGACTTCCCATTGCCTCTCAGGCATTGCTTTGGCATTTAGCTTTCATGACATCGCCTTTTGAAATCTAGCAGCAGACCCAGCAGTTACCAACAGTGCTGCTAATCTTTTCTCCGTGGCTGTGAAGAGAAAGTTAGCTCAGTCAGCCTCTGCCATTTCCATGTTGAATAGATGTCTGTGGCCAAGGGAGTTAGGGCAAAGACCACATGATGACGGGGTATGCTCGTCATAGATGCCTCAACAACTTTGCTCAAGAAGCTGAGGTCAGAGACAGGATGTTAGTCAAATCACTGATATCGCACAGAGGCAAGGACATGTTTCTGGAACAGCTACACAAAACAAGATAAAATGGATAAAGAGGGGTGGTTTTTTGTTTGTTTCCATCTGCTGGTGTGTCATTAAAGCTGGTGAGATCTCTTGCAACTCTATTTTTTCACTCACTGGCTATAAAATGAAGTTTTAGTGGGAGAAGTATTTTCAGAATGAATGCGAACAAATGGAGATAATAAGGTTACAAATAGCCCACCTAGCCTAAAGTGTTATTTTTCCCTCATTTTAGCACTAAATTAGTTGATCCCAATGTTTTCTGACATGGTAATTCCCATGTGTTTCACATACAGATTCCTTCTATAGCTCAGTCCCATCCAAACCTCACTGCAATTTATTTCATAATTCTCTTTTAATCCCATGATGGTGAGTTCTCTTTAGTCTGCACGACTATGTGATTTTAAGTTCCATCGTCTTCTCATTACTCTTCCTTTCTTTTTCTCACATATTTTGCTTTGTTCCCTCAGTGTTCCTCCACTCACTTTTACCTTCCCACACTTAATATCTTCTTGCCTCCTACCTTTCACTGACAGACATACATTGAGAGCTGCATGTTTCCTGTAGCCATATCCATTAATGGCAAATGACAAGTAGTTGTACTGGAAAAGCATCATTTGCAGAGTTCTTCAAACAATGCAAATTATCCATCAATATTATTTCTTTCCTTAATAAATGTGCTGTGGCCAAACACAGCAGTCTGCAAATGTGTGAGACTGACTTTTGCTGGCCAAAGGGCAAATATCGGAATTACGTACAAAAGTATTTACGGGGAAGGAACTGCATGTTTTCATGCATGAGTAATTCTGCCAAGAACATTCACCATACGACTTTCTGTTGAGTTCCCCCAGAGATCAGATACTTTTAAGTGCTTTCAATGTTCTGATCAGTTTGAAGAGACTGAAAACACCTAACAAAAGACTAGGTGCATAGCTATGAACAAGGAAGACATCTTAGAAAGCTGGGTATTATGCAAACCAATAGATAGGTTACATTGGTTACACAGTAGTATTGTTGTAAAAAAAGAAATAATACATTTCAGTTATTGCTTGTTCATATATTGATTCTTTTGCATGCTGGTGGAATTTAGATGGAGGTCCACAGGAGAGAACCAATGTTCACTGTTTCATGGATATTTTCATGAATCATAGAATCATAGAATCATAGAATGGCATAGGCTGGAAGGGACCTTAAAGATCATCTAGTCCAACCTCCCTGTTTTGGGCAGGGAAAACACCTGTCGACTAAAACTGGCAACACATGGGGACCGAGCAGGAAACAAACCCACGACCTCGGTGTTGGTCCTTGTTGCCAGCACCGTGCTCAAACCACTGAGCTAACCTGTGTCCAGTTCTGTGCAAAAACAGACCAAAGAAAGTTCCTGTTCCTGACAAATTCAAAGCATTAGACATGAAGACATGGTGGGATGAATGCAGAACATCGTATTTCTTTTTTCACTCTAGAATGCAGGAATTGTCACCTTGTAGAGTCTCACAGTAGGATACTGTTATGAAAGGAAAACAAGTCAATTTTGGTCAAAATTCGCACGTGTGCGATATGCTAGAGGCAAGGTAAATGTCAGTTAATGGTTTGTGCTCTAAGGAGGATACAGATCTTATACTGTGATTTTTTTTTAAGGTATAGCAAGGATAAGAGAGAAAGCAGTGTCTTCGAGATGAGGAGCTGAATTCTAGATGCAGATTGGTGAACAGAAGAGAACAAAGAGAACAGCATTGGTTGTTGAGTAGTTTTAATGGGGAAGTGCATATATTTGGGGGAAAGAAAGTAAAATAAATGCTTCTATTCTGCACTGCACACATGTGAATATAAAAATCTAGGTTTGATCTGAACAGCTTAGAGAACTGAGACTCGTGTCATGTCTGTCATTTCTTTGAACTAGTTCCTCTACCCCTTATTGCTATGTGTCACTCAGCCAAAAATCCCAAGCTATTAATCAAGAACTTACTTTAGCTGAAAACAACGTAACTTAGTACTAATAAACGTAAAATATTAGGCATAAACTAGTTTCATTCACTTAAACTCAGTGAGTTAATCACCTTAATGTACATCTTCTGATGCTGTATGGATCCATGTAACAACAGACCACAGAGGGCTCTGGAGTCTAAAGTAAGTTGTCCCTTTCACAAAGGAGAGTTTCTGCAGTTGATCTCCAGTTGAGATGCACTAATTTAATTAATGGTCAGTTAAGTTGTCTGAGGCAAAACAAAGACAGAAAAAGAGAGCCCTTATTAAAATAAAAATGCATAAGCTGCATTACATTTTAAAATGTAGGTGGAA